GGGGCGCGGCGCTTTGGCCCTATTTGGTAGCAGGACGAGCGCCGTCCTCTGGGTGGCTGGGGAAGGAATGGCCGAGTTGCCGTGGGCGTCCATTTTGTGCAACCCGAGTCCGGGCCGGGGACGGCAGCACAATGGCCGGCGGCCACGCGCTCTCTCCTGGCGTAGAAAAATGGAATTATTTGACAGGTTCATCTCTTGAGTGGGATTTGCCTTTGTTTGCGTTTAGGCTTCTCACGGCATTCAGCAGCAGCGTTGCTGTAACCGACAAAGACATCTTCGAATTAAGCACATTCCTCGATTCCAGCAAAGCCCCACAACATGGCCGAGATGAGCTTCCTGAGCAGCGAGGTGTTGGGGGGGGACTTGATGTCCCCCTTCGACCAGTCGGGTTTGGGGGCTGAAGAAAGCTTAGGTCTCTTAGATGACTACCTGGAGGTGGCCAAGCACTTCAAACCTCATGGGTTCTCCGGCGACAAGGCTAAGGCGGGCTCCTCCGATTGGCTGGCTGTGGATGAGTTGGTGGTCAGTGCCTCGGACACCGGCAAGGGTGAGTGAGCCAGCTTCATCTGTCCGCCCCTGTGGGGCCCCGCGCTCAGGGTGGGGTCTGCCTTGTGTGTTTGACTCTGATCTCATTTTGTCTCTTGCAGAGGATGCCTTCTCTGGGACAGATTGGATGTTGGAGAAAATGGATCTGAAGGAGTTTGATTTTGATGCTCTGTTGAGCGTAGATGACCTGGAAACCATGCCAGATGAGCTTTTGGCCACGTTGGACGACACATGTGATCTGTTTGCCCCCCTAGTCCAGGAGACTAACAAGGAGCCCCCCCAGGCAGTGAACCCAATTGGCCATCTTCCAGAAAGTTTAACAAAAACTGACCAGGTTGCCCCTTTCACCTTCTTGCAACCTCTTCCCCTTTCCCCGGGAGTTCTGTCCTCCACTCCAGATCATTCCTTTAGCTTAGAGCTAGGCAGTGAGGTGGATATTTCTGAAGGCGATAGGAAATCTGACTCTGTTGCTTATGTTACCTTGGTTCCTCAATGTGTGAAGGAGGAAGATGCCCCTTCAGATAATGACAGTGGCGTCTGTATGAGCCCTGAGTCATACCCTGGTTCTCCCCAGCACAGCCCCTCTACTTCTAGGGGCTCTCCAAATAGGAGCCTGCCATCTCCAGGTGTCCCTTGTTCCCGCCCCAAACCCTATGATCTCCCTGGAGAGAAGGTGGTGGTAGCCAAAATTAAGGGCGAAAAGCTGGATAAGAAACTGAAAAAAATGGAGCAAAACAAGACAGCAGCCACCAGGTACCGCCAGAAGAAGCGGGCAGAGCAGGAGGCCCTCACTGGCGAGTGTAAAGAACTAGAGAAGAAAAATGAGGCTCTGAAAGAGAAGGCTGATTCTCTGGCCAAGGAGATTCAGTATCTGAAAGATTTAATAGAAGAGGTACGCAAAGCAAGGGGGAAAAAAAGGGTCCTTTAGGGTAGTCAGAAAATGCTATGTGCTTGTACATAGGTGTCTTGCGCTGAAGCTGTGTTGTAATAAATTATTTTGTAGTGAAAGTGCCACTGCAGACTTGATGTGTTTCTTGGTAAGTGCTCCCAGTACCCTCCTGCCCTGCCAAGTGTAATAGGTATTTGGACAAAAAGGTCTTAAGCCAATGGTTTTTATTTTGGCAAGGACGGGGAAGTACCCAGGATCATACTTGAGGCCTTTAGCTTGGCAGGCAGGTGCTGTGCCACTGAACTATATTCCTAGCCCAGAGCTGATGGTTTTTATTGGGGCCCTTGGGTGCCTGATTTCTACTTAACTTGGGGCTGGAGAGGTTGGTTATCCAGGGCTCCACCTTCTGTTTCTGAGAGCACCTTCTGTTTCTGAGAGCACACTTGGATAGGTACCAGTGTGCAGGAACTTTACCACAATGCCCAATCAGGAAATTCCCTTTGTAGCTGGAGATGTTGGCCATTTCCTCTTCCCAAGCAATTGGGAGATGGAAAAACCCTAAAGTCACTTGGCCTGAAATAATACAGAACAGGTCCCAATCATAATGGTCTCACTATTGTTGGCAGACTCCAGGTAATCAGAGCAGTGGAAGAGGATTTACAGGATTTCTTTTCGAGTCCAGGTTTCTAGTTCAGGCTTCCCTTGAGCTCAGTAATCCTGCTTCACTCTCCTGAATACTGGGGTCACAGGTGTGTAACATTCCTAGTTTACAGGATTTTAGATGTACAAGGACCCAGCCAGACTTGTGTCTATAAAGTGCTGGGCCTTAGAATGAAGGAAAGGTTCTAGTGTTACACTGCACTTGTCAGGCAAGCACTTAACATGCTGAGCCAACATCCCCCCCCCCAAATACCTTTAGTTGGTCTTCAGAAATGGATTGGGGCAATTGTGAGGGTACAGAAGTAAAAAGCAGTAACATCTTTGACAGCTTTAATCCTGCGAGAACATTAAGTACTTGCAGAACTTTGCTGTATCAGAACAGGTTAGAGCTGTGGGGGCTTACTCTTCAGCCTTGGCTTCATTCCAGTCTTGTGCTTGACTGGTTTTACAGTTATTTTCTGCGTTGAGTGTCAATGTGAGGCTGAACCCAGCGGTCAGATGCTGTCGTTTTGCTGGGGAGGAGACGTGTGTATGGGCCTGCATGCACTTGTCCTGCCCCCCACCCCCCATGAGTGTGGCCTGAGTGCCAGCATGGCTGGGCCTGCACTTCAGATCTACCCTGAAGCACTCACTGACCTTCTAATGCTAGTGGTTTGATGGGATGGGGACAGTGACAGGATGGGGACAGTTGTACCTGAAACCTGGTTTGTCTTTTGAGTTCTTCCTGCAATTACAGCATCCAGGGCCTGGGATTCTAGAATTGTTCAGGCTGTAGGCCTCCATGTCCGTTGGGCTCTATTTAGGTGTTCAGGTGTAGCTGAGGTAATCTAGATCTAAATTCTAGGTTACCTTTTCCTGCCTCAGTTGCATGCCTGGTTCCTACCCTGTTCAGTGCCCCATTCTTGGTCCTGCTGAGGCTGGGGCTCAGTTTTGAGCATTTCTCACCTGTTCCATTTGGGGGAAAGCAGGGAAAGTCCCAGATTTACCCACCATTGAGTGCCTATTTTGAGACCTGCTGGGGTTCCCTATCCTGGTGTGTTCTAAAGGAAATGGAGGCAGTGGAAAGGGCATCCTAGGGTGGGAGTGGCAGGGGCTGTGTTGGGGGAGGAGCTGTTGCTGGGTTGTAGATGAGGATGCCTACAGAGGGGCAGATGGGGAAACGAGGATGAGCAGTCCTGGGAATTAAATGCAGGGCCTTCATGCTGACTACAGTCCATCTTTGAGATGGTCTCACTTAGTTGCTGTGTAGCTGGGCTAAAAGCTGTGATTCTTGTGCCCCTGCCAGCCATAGTGCTGGGGTTAAAGGCATATGCCACCAGGCCCAGCTAGGGGTAAGCTTTTTATTTTTAGGTGGGCAGAGAGCTCCATGTGAGCATCCAGGTGGAGAACATGGTAGGGCTCACAGCCAGGGTGGATAGTAGGTGGATGCCTGGGTTAAGTGAGCAACAGCTATATACACCTTGTGTCCTGGCTTTGAAGTATGTGGAGAGTTGTGGCTGAAGAGAAGGGGAAGAGCAGCCCAAAAACGCTGGGCAGCAATGAATAGGGGCATCCTGGAGTGCCATAGCCCCAATCGCTCAACCCGAGCTTTGTTCTGCAGGACAAGGTCACCTGATGACCTGGCCAGCTTCTTCAGGAGCTTGAGCAAAGTCCCTCTGCCACACATGCTCTGGGCCAGGCTACTGTCACTGTGAGAGCCCCAAGACAGTGCTGTCCCACCCTGAGCCACCCCTGCAGGCAGAGGTCCAGGCAGTGTGAAACGAGCCTGTTTCTGTCATCCTTCTTCAGCTTCCCACTCTCCTTACCTGAGCTCAAAGCTGTCCTGCTGCAACTACCCGAGGCCAGGTGCTCCTGGCCCTCACATCCACCCACAGTGCCTTAGCTGGGGAAGGCCTCCTCTGCTTGAATGTGACTCTGGTGTCACTTGGGCCCTGCTGACTAGCAGGCCCAGGACATTTCCAGCAGTCCTCCCTAGGTGAGATGTCCTTTGTTCTGGTGCTGGTACTGGCTTCCTAAGCTTGCTGGGCTGCTGGAGCAGGCCTTGGTGAACACTAGCTGTCAAGAACGGGGGCGAGGGTGCACCCAGCAGCAGTACTGGCACAACATGAAATCTGACTGAAAACGCAAAAGCAGGGGAGAGGCAGGACCCCACCGTCCTCTCTCCTTGGAGGGTGACTAAAGATTGCAGGGGTCCTTGATAGAAAGGGGTGCTGGAGCCTAGTCAGCATTTTCTATGACACAAATTCAGGAGCTAGTGTTGAGCTGGCTTCTCACTAAGCTGCTTATAATGGAGAAAGGACTCTCCAAGGACAGCTGGAGTACCGACAGCAGTCACACAGCCAGCAGCAGGAAGGATTGGTGATCCAAGGCACCCCACATCTGAACAGTTCCTGTGAGGTCTATTATTACAGGGACAGAACCTACCTTTGGGCTGTCCCCACCCAGCAACAGGATTCAACTCCAAGCTGCCCTCCTGTGGGTGTGCAGTCACTTGTGCCCAGGCACAGACTTGGGTGTGAACCCTGCTACTGCAAGGATCTACCCATAACCTCCAGCCTAGGAGCCAGTGTACGTGACAGAGGACCCAGGGCTCTGAGTGTGGGTGTGCATGTCCCAGGCGCGGCTCTGCTGTGCCCACAGCACCCACATGCTCCTGGGGGTGGGAGAGACAGCCCACCCCTCCTCCCCAGGCTCCTGAGCCCACTTCCAGAATGAGCAACAGCAGTTTTTGCTTCAAGGCCACACCCAGGGGCAGTAGCCCCAGACTATAGCTCCCCAGATGGCTGCCTGGTGACTTTTCCCTTTGGCACTGGAGGCGATGGGAGCGCCCCTCAAGTCAGATCAGCATAACACACAGGTCCCACATTTATTAGAACCCGTGAGTCTACACAGCATCCTCAGGACGAGGATCTGGCCTTGGACCATAGGAAACAGGCAGAAGTCTCCCATGGGCAAAGCAGACAGAACAGTCACAAATGTGCCTTTCTGGCAGGGCAGGGTTCCTAAGCCTTCCAGTCCAGTGTAAACCTGCCCCCAGGGTGCCCAGCTCCCTTCCAAACCCCAGCAACTCCAGCTCCAGGGCTCCCTTGAGCCGGTCCAGTGTTGCCATCTGCTGGCCGTGCTCTGCACCGCAGGGCTGGCTGGCCCACAGAACAGTGAGCCCTGTGCACCTCCTGGGTGCACAGGCCCTCCAGGGAGCCTAGCTGCCAAAGTATTCCTGCTGGAACTTCTGGAAGTCTTCCTCTGTGAACACGGTGCCCTCGGCCTTCTTCTTCTTCTTAGTCTTGGCCACGGGCCGGTCACAGGCCTTGCGGCCCCGGTTCTGCTGCAGAATCTGGGAAGAAGTGAGGGCACTTCATTTCCATTGACAAGAGCAGACAGGGACACAAAGGTCCCTGTCACCACGATGTGTGGGCCAGGACAGGGTTGGACCAGTGTCTCCCAGGCTCCCTCGCAAACCCTCAAGGGTTGGCCCTACTTCCACCTAACTCAGGCTGACGCCGCCAGGCCTTCCTGGAACCCATACCCGACAGACCTGCTTCGACACCGACTCTGCCAGGGTGCTCTTCGTGGCGGTCATAAACTTCAGGTTTGCTCTGAGGTGGTCTCGACACTCTCGCTTCTGGTACTCGGCTGTGGGTGATGGGGGGTTTGTGTCATTTCTGGTTCAGCCCCTGGAAGCCTTACAGGTCCCCAGCCCCTGGGCCTGCAGAAGGTCCATTATCCCCTCCCTAGACTGTTACAAGCTGGGCTTGTCTTGGTCAAGCCTCCTCTTCATACAGTTCCCCTGGAAAGTGCCTGGGACTCCTAGGGGCCATGACTCAACACACTCATCCTGCACGCACCTAAATGTCACGCTCTGTCCTGGGTGCTGGGCCAGCAGCAGGACACCGGACAGGCAGACTTGCCCTCATGGAGCTTGCATGCCAGTGTGCAAAGAGGGGAAAGCAGGTAAACAGCATTTTTGAGGGGAGGCATTTTATAGAAGATAACAGAATAGGCAACAAGAAGGCTAATGACTCATGGTTGGAATTTTAAATAGGAAGATCCAGGAAGATCTCATTAGAATGACATTTGGGCAGTCCTGAAGGACAGCTGTCTAAGGAGAGGGTACAGTCTGTGCAGAGTGGGCCTGGAAATATGCCCTGGGAAGGGAGGGGCAGGTTGGGACAGCTATGGCCTTTAAGGGCAATGGGAGCTGCAGGAAGGTGTAGGTAAAGGAGAACCAAGGTGCGATTTACAACATGAGATCACTTTGCTGGTTGGTTAGCATAGGATGACTGGGGAAGGGTGTGGAAGGCAGTTTTGCAAAACTCCATGGTGGAGATGAGGCTGCTTAGACCCAGGTGACAGCCAGAGGTGATGGAGACCACTATGAAGTGACTCTGAGCAGGATTTATATTAACCGACTGGCTGTTCATGTTTTCTTGTGAGTCTGCCCAAGGCCTAGGCCCTTGTCCAGTGGCCCGTAATGGTGAGTGAAGTCTTGGCATCTCAAAAGACAAGGCAGAGGACACCTGGCTCCAGCCTCACTGAGTTAGAGAAAGAGTCCAGCTGCAGGCACCTCACTCCTTCGCAAAGGCCTTCCTGGAGATGACGGAGATGACACAGTTCTCCTACATTAACGTAATGTATTACTTAGAGAAGTCCTTTAAGGGATCCCCAAGTCCTACCCAGATTCCTGCATCTTCTTCAGTACTCCTCCCCTTTGTTTGATAGCATAATAAAGACAGACTACCTAGAGATGGTCTTGGTCTTAAACCCCTGAAAATCTGTGAGAGGGCTTTTGATCCTCCTGGAGGCCTCATTTGTCTCACTTAAGCCTTTGACATCCACTCATTGCGAGGCTGTGGGCCTGATCAGTCTGCAACAACTAGGGGACTGCATTAACCTGACACAGAGGTACAGTGCAGACTGGCTGCTGAGGTTCTCACCCTTCCTCCCTCCCTCCCTTCTTTCATTTTATTTTGCATTTTTTAGGGAAGGGTCTACAGGGTGTTCAGGGTCTCACTACGAGATCAGACTCATAGTGATTCTATTTACAGCCTCCCAAGTGCTGGGATTACAGGCATGTACCACCATGACCAGTCCCTATCACCGTCTCAGCGTGCCCCAGGGGTGGGGCTGACACAGCGGGCCCAGGGATGAAATCCCCAGCCCCTTCACCTGCTTACAGGTGCTTTAATCTGCTGAGCTATTTGGCCAGCCCTCTTTTTTTAAAAAAATTAATTAATTAATTAATGTGGGGGGGGGCAGCTCAGCCCACCAGGGAGCGGGGCTGGCTGGCATGTGGTGCTGGGGGATTGAACCGCGGTCCCTGTGTTTTGCTAAGCTTGTTCTAAGTAGGTGCTTTAGACCACTGAGCCATCTCACCAGCCCCAGCCCTCTTTATTATTATTACTATTTTGTATTTAGCACAGGGTCTACAGGTTCTCACTATGTAGATACGACTTCTAGTGATCCTCCTGTTTTCAGCCTCCCAAGCACTGGGATTACAGGCATGCTACTATGCCCAGTCTCAGTGTGACCTGGGGGCGAGGCTGGCACAGCATGCCAGGGACCGAACCTGGCTGCTGCGCTCTGCCTAAGCAGGTGCTTTAGTCTGTTGAGCTATCTGGCCCTTTTTAAAAAAATGTATTTGGTACAGGGTCTTAGTACATAGTTCTGACTTACAGTGATCCTCCTGTTTTCAGCCTCCCCAGCGCTGGGATTACAAGTATGCACTGGGATTATAGGTGTGCACATGCACCACCATGCCCTGTCTCAGTGGCCGGCTCAGTGTGCCTGGAGGCAGGGCCAGAGTGGATGCTGGGGATCAAACCCCAGTTCCTACGCTTGTCTCAGCAGGTGCTCGGTCCCCTGAGCTATCTCGCTGGCCCTCACCATTCCTTTCACCCACGGATTATGGGCAAAGCCCTGGGCTGGGCACCAGTACCAAAAACAAACCAAATGGAGGTCTGTGCCTGGTGGAGCTCTCAATCCAGTGTGGGAGGCAGTGAAGAGAATCCTTGCAACAGGTCAGTGAGACAAGGGTGGGGGTGGGGGGGCGGATGGGTGGACCTCTCCCAGCTTCAGCTTCACGTTTGTGTCACTAGGGCTCAAACCTCTCTCCAGTCTCCACATCTTTGGTCACACTGTAGCTGCTCTTTTTTTTTTGGCGGAACCGAGGATTAAACTCAGGTCCTTGTGTTTGCCAGGGAAGCGCTTATTCCATTGAGCCATCTACCTGGCCCCTGTAGCTGCTCTTTGAGGATGATTTTTTTTTTTTTTTTGGCTGGTTCAGCCTGCCTTAAGTGCAGGTCTGATAAGGCAGGTGGAGGTGGGGATCAAACCCGCAGTATCCTGCTCCTGATTACATTTGCATGAGCAGGCTGTAGCTGCTCTTTGGAATTTATAACCTGTTTAATAAATAGCTAAGTATGCAGGAGGCCCTAGAGATTCAAAGGGACGTAAGTGCTTACCATCCTGCCCATGCAGCCTTACAAATGAAATATAGTCCAGCTTGGCCTTCAATTTGCTATGTAGCCCAAGCTGACTTCAAATTTTCAATGCTCCTACCTGGCCTTACAGGCACACACCAGTACGCTGGATCCACCCCAAATCTTCCTCTCCTTAATGGATACACACTCTTGAAGAAGCTACTAGAGCCAGGTGTGGTGATGCACACCTGTAATCCCAGCACTAGGGAGGCTGACAGGAGGATCGCCACGGTCCAAGGCCAGCCTGGACAACATAGTAAGTTCAAGGCCAGCCTGACCCTCTCTCAAAAATTTAAGAAAGAGAAAAAAAAAAAAAAGCTCTACTAGAAACTGGGCTCCCGTTTGGCAGCCAGTTCACCAGCTCAGCCCATCGGTCCATCAGTGCTCTCTCCTCGACCAATCTGCGCAATTCTTTCACTTCTGAATCTGTCACCACTGCCCCGGCCACACAATCTCGCCCTTGATCCCAGCGGGTAAGAGCAGTGCTCTGGAGACACGCCTGGTCCACCTGGACCACCGCAGCACGTGCTGCCTCCCCTAGAGCGGGGCTGACAGCGCGCAGGCCTCGCAAGATTCACATTTAGAGGGCTCAGAACATCGTCCAGAGCCCGCAACGCTGTTAAGCTCCATCCTGACCCTGTTCACTTCCAGCCTGCGCCCTTTCACGTTCTGTAAGGGCAGAAGCGTCTTTCTGCCCGACCTTACACTTTGTCCAGCTCTCAGCCTAAAGGCTGCTTCCTCTGAGGAGGCTGACGGCCTTTTACTCCGCTCCTCCTCCGAGCACTGTACCTTTCTACATTACAGGCATGAACACACTTAGCCATTATCACACGCGGGCTGTGGGCCTCTGCACTGTACCTAGCTCCTGAGGGCCCGGGCCGTGCTTCAGTCCCCCTCACGGTGCCCGCCGCAGGCCCGGTATCCAGCAATACTGCGGACAGCCGCGCTCCCAGCCCCTGCCCGCACTCACCCAGCGCCGACTTGGGCACCTTTCCTTTGGCCGAATTCCGCAGTTTCTGGGCCTGGGCCGCCTTCGCCCTCCGGGCCCGCTTCACCGAAGCCCCGCTCGGTTGGGCCTGGCTCTGGGCGGCCTGGGGGGCTGCCGGGGAGGAGAGCAGCGGGCCCGGGTCGGAGAGCGCACAGGGCTCCCGTTCCGCCCGGCTCCCTCCCACCCCTGGCTCCTTCCGAAGCGTCCACCGTCCTCCCGTCCCCGCCAGACGTGCCCTCGCAAGCTCTCCTCACCTTCCGACGCAGCCAGGAGCTCCAGACCGCGTCGCAGCAAGGCCGCCGACATGACTGAGCCTGGCTCCGCCCACGCGCCTGGCTCCGCCCACGCGCCTTGCACGACTTCCGCCTTGGCGGTGCTCCTCGCCTCCACGGAAACCGGATTCGCCGCCTAAGGTTCCGGAGTGGGCTGGGTGTGTGTATGTGTGAGGCGGGTCCAAGGCACAGAAGAACACCGGTATTGTCCAATCCTAATCCAACTAACTCCTTGAAGGTCAAGACCACGCCTTCTCTTGGAGTTGTTGGCAACTAGTCCAGGCTGGTTGGTCAACTTTCTGAGGGGTGTCTCTTGTCGGCAGTAGGTGTGGCCGTGTTGTTGGTCTCACTTTTTATCAAATAGGAAACTGGGGCTACATTATTTTCCCCCATATACTTAAATCTGAGTAACGTATCGCATAGATCGAGAATTGCTCGTGAACCTAGCTCTCTTCCGTGGAGTCAGACATTAAAGACAAAAATGTAAAATAATGTATTTTTGTTTTGGAAAATATATTTTCCCATAAAATGTGTACTAAGTAATGACTCTGTTATTTTATTATTATTATTATTTTTTGGCGGAACCGGGGATTGAACTCAGGTCCTTGTACTTGCCAGGCAAGTGCTTATTCTACTGAACTATCTCCCCAGCTCTTGACTCTGTTATTTTAAATGATTAATAAATACTAAAGATTTCAGTTTTAGTAGATCCTAAATTTGAAAAGTGTAAGGAGTCAAGCAAACATGTAGGCTCGCATCTGTAACCTCACTACTCTGGGAGGCTGAGGCAGGAGAATTCCAGGTGCAAGCCCAAGTCCTAGCAACTTAGTGAGGTCCTGTCTCAAAATACTAAGAAGGGACTGGGGATATAGCTCAGTGCAAAGGCCTTGGCTTAGAGTCTCAGGAATTAAAAAAAAAAAAAAAAAAAAAAGGAAGACTCCGCGTGGTGCTCTGCTTCTGCAATCCCAGCGTTTGGGAGGCTGTACACAGGAGGGTCACTGAGTCCGATCTACGTAGTGAGACCCTGTAGACCCTGTACTAAAATTAAAAAAAAAAAAAAGTAAAGGACTTATTAGAGAAGTTTGAGAACGTCTGGCCTAGAATAAGCCTTCTTTAAGTGGGAAATGGCCTGGCTTATTCTGTGCCATCTCCTCACCCCGCAGCTGGCAAGCGGGAGACTCGCAGCGCCAGGCAATGCTGGTGAGGAGAGATGGCTGGATTCACTGCGCTGGAGACTTGTGTGGGCTGACACGTGGCAGCGAGGGACTTGGAGGCAGCTCGGTGGCGCCACCACGCAGGAGGGAGGCATTGATAATGACCGGCGGTGTCCACGGTCACACACAACCTGCCCATTTTTCAGATGGAAACGCATACAGAGGGACCAAGGAACCTGAGGTGGTACAGGTGGCACTGTCGCCTGGTTGCTGAGACAGACTGAGCGGGAGCGGTCCACGTCCAGAGAGGGGTGTGCAGGCAGAAAGCTGTTGTCGCGAGCGTCTGTCCCCTGCAACACTATCTGGGTAGTGGCTGTGGGACAGGAAAGGATAGTGTGGGACAGTGGTTTCTAGGGCTGGACTGTCTACTCTATCCTTTGGGCTGAGGGGACCTGGAACCCAGCCCCGTGGTCAGACAGGTGCTCTCTCCTTGTTTGTTTTTTAAAAATTTTTAATCATTTATTTATTTGATACAAGGTCTCACTAGGAAATCTGCTCAGACTCAGAGGAATCCTCCTGTCTCAGCCTCCCCAGCGCTGGGATTACAGGCATGCTCCACCACGCTCGGTTTCAGTGACCGGCACAGCGCACCTGGGGTTCTGGGGCTGGCACAGCATGCGGTACTTGGGATCGAATCCAGGTCCTTGCATTTGTCAGGCAGGCCCTTAGACTGCCGAGCTATCTCCGCAGCCCCTGTCCTTGTTTATATTTATTGCTTGTTGTCTGTTTTCCTTGGCAGCTGCAGCAGAGCTGTTTTATTACTAGATCCCTAGTGTCGGGGACAAGGATACGACCAACACTTGCTAAAGGCACGGATAGGATGAAGAAAGGATGCGTCTGAGACACCGGTGGACAGCCGAAAAGAGAGGTCCTGGGATGTGGTGAGCGTGTCCCTGGATTTGGCAAAGGGTCGAGCTGTCGGGGCGTCACTTCGATCACCAGACCACTAGGTGGCACCACAGGCCAGCTTTCGCGCTGCCTCCTGGTCCACCGCTGTGGCTGAGTAACAGTGTGGGGTGTGGA